ATGTTCTCACTCATTGGTGGGAGCTAAAAAAACAAACAAATTAATTCACCCACATACACCCCCAAAAATACCGAGGGGGGTGGGGAAGAAGATATAACAACTATACTTTTATGAAGTTGTTACAACAAGCAAACGGAAAGGACATTCTTGGGGGGGAGGGGAGAAAGGGAGGAGGGAGGGAGGTGTCAGTGATGGGCCATAATAATCATATACAGTGTATATTGACAAAATAAAAATTTAACGAAAAAAAAAATTTAAAAAAAATAAATAAATGGAATAAATCATGGGAAAAAAATCCATATGTTCATGCTCTTAAGACTTTGATCTTTGCTGAAAAATCGAACAAATAAATTAGACCATGATGTTCAGATGCAGCTTATTTTTGTAAAGATAACATAGTAAGGAAATCAAAAGATGTTGTGCTAGATTAATCATTCACTAATTTGGTGACCTTAGTCAAACAACAAGTTTTTAATCAATGAAATGAAGACAATAATACTGGACTGACAACAGCAATGAGTTAAAGGGCACAAAAGTCTTTGAGAAATTGGAAAACGGGATAAATAGGACACCAAGTTCAAACAGCCTTCCCATCTTAAGAGTTACCTTCAATTTCAGTATAGACTAACATTTTGAGGCTCAAATCTTCAAAGGTGGAGAGGCACTCAGGGATATAAGACCCTTAATGCACTGTTAGTGGGAATAAAAATGGGTGCACCCATTCTAGAGAGCAATCTGAAAGGATTTAGTCAAATTAAGTACATATATACTTTAGGATTAAACAATTCTAGTCCTGGGTATATATGCCAGAGAAATTTTCACGAAGATCCACAGGGGGGGCACATGCAAGGATGTGCATCACGACATTTGGTGGTATAGGGAGCGACCTGAGAGACCGAGCCCAGGGTGTGGAGGACTAGTGGGTAGGTGTTGGGTTGGGTCACAGACCCTTCAAACCCTTCTGTGCAGACTGGGTCACAGACCCCTCATATGCAGGCTGAGTCATGGACCCCTCATATGCAGGTCACGAGCTAGGTCATTGGAAAAAGATCCTGGAAGCTGTTGGCAAGGCTGACATGCTTTATTTGGACATGAGCTCAGCCCCCAGTCTCCTAGTGGATCAGAGCTATTGTTCTTTATACTAGAGTCAGATAACCAAGGAACACATGGGCACACACGTGCAATTAACATATTTACAATAACATGCTGAGTTATGCTCAGCCGGATATGGGGTAAGGGATCCTGACCAGTCTGTCTCCATTTTCCTCACAGTAGGTGAAATGTGATAAGAGTCCCCCCCCCCCTGCAGCTGTGACAAAACAATCCACTAGACACCTACAGAGCAAGGTGTAAAGAGCTTTAAGAACAGTGCTGAGCAAAGAAAAAAAAAAAAAGAAATACCATTTACGTTTATTAAATATACATCCAGACAAAACAATGCATTTCTTCAAAGCATATATAAGCAAAAGATACATTAAACATAAGAATGTGTGCCTACAGCAGGGGAGGAAAAAAGAAATTGTTATAAACAATAACCAACCATCAACCAACAAGTATATACAGGAGGGGTACTCGCCCAAACTTATGAGCTGCCATGAGCTGGGAAGTGTGATCAATTCAACCTTTTACACCCGAGGTCTGAAAATGAATGAATGAATGAATGGACATATGATTGAGTAAATGGTATCGTCCTAAAAGCAAATTACCTGGATTTGAATTCAGGCTTTACTTACTATTTGTTAACTATTTGGAGGAGCTTGATCTCACAAACACAAAAGATAAATAACAATATTAACTACCCCATGGGCTCATTGTGAAGGTTAAATTAAACTTATGTAAAGCACTTGGTGTGGTGCCTGGCACATCACAAGAGCACAGTGAATGCTAGAGATCATGATTAAGAATCTAAAGTGATGCTTCACACAACTGAGCAGGTTGATGGAGAAGCAGATTTTGTGTGGGGGAGGAGAGATGAGCAGTCAGGTTGACTGAAGCTCCTTTGTTGATCTAACACCAGTGGAGGTGACGATGAGAACTTTCTATTTACAGTTTCCAATTGATGGCTAATAATGGAACATCCTATAACAGCTGTTGAGAATAAAGGAGCCCAGTTACTCTTCTGTAGGCAACTCTCCTTGCTGTGCCCTGGAGAGGGTGATTGGGGTGATTAAGCAGTGGTCTGAGGGAGCTGTGGCTCAGAGCTGGCTCCATGAGGAAGGTGGGTTGTATGCAAAGTGTAAGTAAAGCGGGTTTTCCTAAGACTGCTTTGCTACTAGAAGTTCACAGTCCAGAACTGCTGTGGATTCTTCCTTATTGTTTGTTGTCCTAGACTTCTCAGATGAGCAGAAAAAGGAAACCACTTAGAGGAGGCTAGGACAGACTGCTGGGGATAACAACTGGGAAACAAACTAAACACAGCCAATCGGGTGAGCATCAGGTGTACCTCTGGTGGGCTCCCAGGATTGTCATCACAGTGTAGGTTTGCTCTATGATCTCTGCTGCTCCCAAGAATATGGGTACAAACTGGCAGAAGTAGCCTTCACAAGAACCATGTGGCAATGGGCAGAGAGACAGTGATATTAGAGATGCTCCAGCAACACTATCTTCACTGAGGTGTCAGTGGTACACATTCTGCTCCAGCAGCACAGAACTCCAACAGAACAGAAAAGTAGTGTATGTTATGTTTGTGACATACTAACTTTTTCAACTTTTTTAAGATCTCCCCAATGGACCCCTGAATATTAGCGTCCCCTGAAAACAGGCAGGGACTCATTCTTAAAAAGTTGTTGGTCTTTTTATTTTAACATGTAAAAGAGTGAAGCAAAAGAGGAATAAAACATGTTCCAGTCAGTAACGTATGCATTAGATAAAACTAGTGTTGAGAAACAGTCACAGCCATTCTTCTATTTACCAATGATTTTTCTTTATTTGACCACTGAATATAGGGGCACATTAGTATTGCTGTCAGCTTAATAGAAGGCATTAAAGGCTTGGACAGTGGTGCAAGAAGCTGTAGATAAATCTCTCCTATGCTGGGCATTAGTAGGGTAATGTGGTGCTATATGCCTGCAGCAAACTTTCTTTAGCTCTTCTGCTGCACTGCAGTTCATAAAGGGAGCACTCATTTTGAAAAAAAGTAAAAGTTAAATCTAGCAAGTGGTTAGCACCAGCACTCCAAAAACCTCAGCAGACTGTGTTTTCAGCTTCTGTTCCAACATCACTGCTGCAAAATAAGAGAAAACAGTAGTCAGGTTGATGGAGATGAATATATTCAGAAAAAAATACATCAGAAAATTATACATTAGTATTTAGGCATAGCATTTCATATAAAAAATTATTTAGAGTAGGAAAAATGTGTTTGTTTTTATTCCCTCAGTAGCTGCTTTCTTGTTGCATGATTAATGGCATAATAAAGACACACAGCTGTACCTTCACATCAGACTCTGGTTCCTTGAGAGCTCAGCAGAGCAGTTCTGGCAAAAGGGGTCATGATGGCTTTGAGGGGCAGCGCTGCCATATCCCATCCGTAACCCCTGACTCCCTCAATTACTTGTCTGCTATTTTACCATTCCTTTATCATGTCTGGATCATTCCCTAAAATTCAACATCTAAAACAAGTAGGTAAAGTGAATAGGGATTGGATTAAGTCCCAGCTTTTGCAAAATGGAACATTACAAAAGACAGAGACAGCAAAGAACCTCTCGCTTTTTCTTCATATACTGATTCACTTGGCTTTACAATGTCGCTTTGTGGTAGGCGAGTGATTCCAATAATTTCTTTATCCATTCAATCTCTGTGTGTTCTTATTTGATAGGGTAAGACTGTCTGGAACAGATAAGATAAACTTAACTGAGTGGAGACAAGTATTAGCAACTGTGAAGGCAGATTACACAAAAGAAAGTACTAAAGAAAGCATTGTAGTTGAGGCAAGAAGAGAAAATGAGTTCTAAAATATTACTCTGATAGGAAAATGTGATGGAGTGACACCAATGGAAATGAATTTTTTATTTTCAGATGCCAACTGATGACCAAAAATGGAACATTCAAAATGTCTGGTGGAGAATAAAGGAGGTCAGTTGCTTTTCTGTAGGCAACTCTCTCTTTGCCCTGGGCCAGATCCTGGAGTGAAGAAGCAGCGGTCTGAGACAGCTGCGGTTTACAGCTGACTGTAGGGGGAACACAGACTATGTGCAAGGAGGGAGTATTAACAGAAAGAAAATGTGAGTATAGCATGGTCAAGTAGCTGAATAGGATTGTGAAACAGACACATTCTGTATCACTTAGGGGAAACTGAATTTGTTAGACTAGAAGGGAGAGATAAAGAAAAAGCACTAAGACAAGAGGATAGCTTCAATACTGCACTGATTTGTTCTGGCCATAAAAATCAACAGTCATGAAATAAGGAGTGAGATGAAGCTTTCATCATCTGGGATCCTCTGAAGCTTTAGATCCTCTTAGCTTTTAGAATGAAGGTAGGAGGGCCGAGCCCGTGGCGCACTCGGGAGAGTGCGGCGCTGGGAGCGCAGCGACGCTCCCGCCGCAGGTTTGGATCCTATATAGGAATGGCCAGTGCACTCACTGGCTGAGTGCAGTGTGGGCGACACCACACCAAGGGTTGTGATCCCCTTACCGGTCATGAAAAAGACAAAAAAAAAAAAAAAATGAAGGTAGGAAATGACTAAATTACATCTCCTCCATTATTTTTCTAACAAATATGAAAACTACTATTAATTTGACTTTTCCACAAGTACAAACATTTAGTAGTCAATACTACAAGAGATTTAAAGAATTCATCATCATTTAATTAAAATTTACTAAGCACTATGTATTTTATATGGAAAGCACTTTATATAAATTAGTACAGATCTTCACCATAACCCCTTGATCCCATTTTACAGAAAATGAAATTGAGGCTCAAAAAGATTAAATATCACATCCAAGTCTGCAATGCTCCAAATTAAACCCCAGTGTTTTCTATTTGTTATTATTATTGGTATAGTTGTTATTTAGTTTGTCCTAGTCATACTAAAACATACATTAAGTCTTTACTTGTAAGATGGTAAACTCTCTGTCACCAGTAGACTTTAAACAGAACATATGCAAAGACACATCTTGTAGTCAGGGTTATAACATTAAATAAAATATTGGACCAAATGTCTTCTAAGTTTTCTTCCAAATAGAAAATTTTATAATTTGACAAATAATTAAATGAGATTGAAGAGGAATAGGTAGTTTATCCTCTGACCCAGGCTGGCAAACTCAGCCCTATTTCTCACCTCTTCCTGAGCCCACTGGCAGAAGTCCTGTTTAGCACCACAATTCAGCAGCTGGTTAGAAATGATGTACTATGCTATGACAGGCAAAGCCATCATTATGGACATTCTGTGAAGTTTTTACTTTCTTTTGCCAATCTCAACATAGGTAAAGAGCCAAATAACTTGGGGAAAATGAAGATGAATATTTTTAAAAGATGATCATTAAATTAATTAATTAACTAAGTAAGCAACCCTTATTTTCAGGCTGGCATCCTGGCAGTTAATTCTCGGTCTTTTATCATATTACCAATTAAACAGCATGCTTCTTTTGGCTAAGAAAATATAAATAAGAAAGAGCTTAAGTCACCTTGAAAATCATAATTTATGAAGGGAGTCAAATTCCACAATTTGTTTTGTTTAGAGTTAACATCAGGTAATAAGTGATATAGTCTGGTGAAACTTTAAGCAAATGTTACAGAGAGCAGCTTTTTGTTTTTTGTTTTTTGGGTTTTTTTCTGGCCAGTACATGGATCAAACTCTGGACCTTGGTGTTATCAGCACCACACTCTGATCAACTGAGCTAACCAACCAACTTGTTTACTTCTGTTTTCGTTTTTGTTTTTTTTCCGGTGTCTGGATGGTATGGGGATCTGAACCCCTGACCTTGGTATTACCAGCACCACGCTGGTAACCAAGTGAGCTAACCAGTCAGCCCCAGAAAGCATTTCAAAAAAAAAAAAAAAATGTGCTGTGTAAATTGGTTTTTCACTCCCTTTTAGTGCAAAAGCAAATACGCATACTCTTTCCTGCCATAGGAAAGCAAAATGATCTATATACATATTTTTGTAAATATGAAACCAGACTTTATGTAATCAGAACAAAAGACCATTTTTAGAAAATTTATAATATTAAATATCACATATTCACTTTTTCTGAAAATTTTAAATGTATTTTATACATTCATGTAACTATTAACTTTGGTATAAGACACAAGATCTGGTATTGGAATTTATTATCCATAAGACAGAAGCTATAAGATGTTCGGTAATTAAAATTCTGTAAAGGTAGCATGATAGATACAGAGTGCAGGTAAAATGGACTCTAGAAAGCACAACATGGAATCTGGGGTTAAAACCATCTGATATCTGGATGACCCAAATTCCAAATAGTTATTAATCCTGGTCTTATTTTTTGTTTGTTTCTGTCACCTGAAAAGCCAAAAATGATCTTCCCAAGCTACCAAATGGAGTAGATGCAAGTCCTTCCAGTTTCTGACTTCTCAGCTTTATAATGACTTGCTACGATACAAAACCCAACTCCAATCTGTTGATATGACTTGGAAGGAGAGATCCCAAAATGGTCAAACCACCATCTTTCCTATAACAGATTTAACTGAATTCCTAAAAGAGAAAAATAAATGAAACCTGTTTTGTATTGGCTACTCCAAAGTCAGACCTTTTCAGATTTCAGTTATGGTGCTTGACAAACAAGTGTAAGGACAAAGGGAAATTTAAAATAAGAGGCTCAACTCTTTCTGTCGAATATAAGGAAAGAGGTTTCCCTCCCCCTCCTTTTTCTTAGAGCATTTACTTTAGAAAACTTATCATTGTTGGTTCATTCTCCTCTCCTTGAATTGTACATGAATTCTCTTGAAAACCAGTTGGGCCTTTTGTCAGGCCCAGGAAAGTCTTTCTCAAGGACTTGAGAACCATTTCCTTTGAATATAAACATCCAAAGAAGATAGCGTCCCTATCTCCTACTTTCCAGGCAGGGTGCGACCCTAACTTTAGATGACACCTGGCCCCAAATTGTAAAACTACCTCCTTTCCCAAAGATATGAGAAATTTGTTTTGTGTGTGTGTGTGAAAAGACAGACTCAGATGATCACCCCAATTACCAGGTGAATATAAGATAAACTATGTATAATAAATGGTGCTGTCAATTCCTCTGACTTGAGGACAAATTAAATTATTGTTTATCTTGAGAACATATACTTACTCATATATAATGGGTTGTATCCACTTGATTATATATGAAAGGTGAAATTTCTTCCAGTCTTTTCAATCTCTCAGCTAATTGCCTGTGATGCACATCACATTCTGGTTTGATGCTTATTCGATAATAAGAGTACTTTCTTTGTCCACTACCTTTGTGAAGATAACTTCTGAGTTGACAGAAATATATATATTTATTAATTCTATTTCCCCAACACAGGCTGGGGGCTTACAACACGGGAAAGTCATTTTTATGACTGCCAAATCTGGGGGTAAAAATGCTCTTCCCTTTATTATTTCCTTGCCCAACTGAATGCCTGTGCAAGATGACTATCCATTCAAGTGCCTGTAGTAGGTGTCTTTATTTTTATAAGACAAATTTGCCCTTGCCTCTAGCCAGTTGTCTATCAAAGCATATGAATCTTCTTTTAATCAGCAGGTAATAATATTCAGATTCCAAGTTCTTACCAGAGATTACAATCTTGAATTCTCAGCAATCCAAGACTTATTATCAAACTTGGTTTTAAGAAAATTTTGGGAAATTGCCTGAAGGAAATAGAGTGGGCCTATTCCTCTTGATAATTTTATTTTTACCCTTGACTCAAACCATAAAGCGAGGATGGCTTCCATGGACAAGTCATTTATTTTCTCTTTTCTGCATCTCATTCAGAGAATAAAGACAGAGGAATGGGATGCTTGTCTCATAAGATTAGAACCTTAGACATTAATGGAGGTTCTAAAATTCAAAATAAAATGAAACAGAGAGCTTACACACTACCAAAATAGTAATTCATTCATAGTTACCTTGTTATCAGAATTATTATCTTGCCAATCCTTAAATGTTTATCAAAGTTTTGCAAAAAGAAGGAATAAAACAGAAGATTTGCATAGTATGTGTTTTATGGGCATCTAGTGAATGATTAGCTCTCAAGTTGTGTTAAGAACAAATGGATCTGAAAGGTCAGAATCAAATG